TAAAAAGTAATATATTTTTAATAATATATACTTTATTTTGTAATTAAACGATAAATAAAAGTAAGTTTTCGATTTTTTATTTGAATTTTTTTTAAAATAATATATTTTTAATAATATTAAAAAATAAAAATTAATATATTTTTACTAATATATATTTTTTATATTTTTCAAAATATATTTTTAAAAGTAATATATTTTTAATATATAAAAAATAATATATTTTTAATAATATATAAAAATAAATAATATATTTTTAAATTATATATAAATCCTTTTTTTAGTTTTATTTTTATATAAGTATTTAATATATCTAATTAAAAATAAATAAAAGTAAGTTTTTAATTTTTTATATGAATTTTATTTTGTAAAATAATTTCATTTAATATATTTTATTCATGATTTCTAATATATATTATATATTTATTTTTTAATATTATTTGTTAATTTTATTTTTAAAAAATTGATTACTACACACATGGGAATGAGAAAACCTTCCATTTACTATGGAATGACTAATCTCATGGAGATGTGTTTTGCTATTGCCATTGGAATGGTCATTCCTTTTCAAAAAATATACCAATCATGAAATAAGGAATGAGTAAGGGAATGATCATTTTATTTCTATGTCATTCTTTCTTACCAATCATGCCATTATTGAGTAGATATATAGTGCAGCGCTGGGCACTTATTTTGATCCACTCATGCCATTATAGAGTAGATATATAGTGCAGCGCTGGGCACTTAGAGCATGTTTGTTTATGGAATTTTTCAAAAAAAATTCCATCATTTTAACTCAACCACTTTTTTAACTCAACTTTAACTCAACCACACTATCATTAGAATTATTAATATAATTAATTAAATAATATCAATCAATCATTCATACACACCACATTAACCTTAATTCACTATTCATCCATGTTGTTGTCTGGAATTAACAACGAGGAAATTAACAGCAGAGTATGTTTGTACACAAAATCAAATATGTAAATTTAATTTATTGATATTATCACAATAGTACAAGAAGTCGGTTGGTTGTTCTGAACCGAGATCATTTGAAGTCCTTGTACAATGTTTTGGAAAAAGATCCTCGTACTATCATAAATTCTGCTATTTATAGTACGGTAGTTTTTGTCTTCTTGCTAGAGATGGATAAGAATGTATTTAATGTTGAGCAGCTTCAACAAAGTCATGTGTTTTGGAATTGGGGAACACCAATGATTGCTCCATTATCTTGACGATCCAATCATATGCTTACAGCTTTGTCTTTTGCTTGGATATTCGAACTTTCAGACCATCGATTTAAACTGATAAGGCTTGATTCAACTTATCATAATATTGTTTGAAATGAAGTCGGCTATTTGTATCTGTCTCAGTAGTCGGTACCTTAATCGATCTCGGAAGTCGGTAATTATTTCAGAGAATTCCGACTTGGCTTAAGTTTGTCCCTTCCTGGAGGTTTATTTTACTGAATCGACTAATCACCGACTTTAATTCTTCAAAACCAAATCAAAACCAAGTCGGTATCAACAATCCACTCACATTATTTTAACTAACCATCACTTTAAACCTCTCTCTCCTACTTTTACATCAAATCAATTTTAATTATTTTATTTTAAATATTATTTTAATATACTCACTAATAACTAATCATACCACCTTTTTCAAAATTAATCAAACCAAA